AGTGCGTTATGTCTGCGAGCTCGTGACTGGCTAAAGCAGGCAAATTCGCGCCCGATACACTGTTTTATAGCTCTGTTCAACTCATCGGCATTCGGCAAGCGTAGGTACACTCCACCCGATTTCGACCATTCGTACTGCCACCGGCGAAATGTCTCGATAAGGGACTTGCCATGTCGTCCTTTCCCTGCGCCTCCACAGAGCGGCTACCGGGTCTGCATCGTAGTACCATGGGCCACCACAGGGAGGCGGGTTAGTCTGGCCTGCTGCCCCTACCTACAGCGTAAATATAGAATAGATACCTCACTTTATCCGAGGGGTACCGCACTCATGGACGTTCACTTACGTTATACATGAAGTGTTCATTTTAGGGCAACTCGCTGTAGCGGCGTGATTCATGATACGGTCTTAAGATAAAAGACGCACGTCTTTTACGCATTATGATAACATGTGGTGTTAAATAGAGGAGTTTCAAAGTTCATCGCCCATCACATGTTTGGAGACATGTAGCCATCGCTAGTGAGAACTATTGCAATTTGTGTGTGCAAGACTTATGATTGATTTTGGTTGAACTTCGCTGCATAGCTAGAAATAATAATATTAATAACGACACTACGGCTGAGCCTTATCTGAATTGATCTCTATTTATGGCATGAAGCTAGCAATCATGAAGTTAGTATATTGTTTATGACAGTTGCTTTAAAATATAGGAATAAACATTCGAATATTGTTGGCACGCGATGGTTTAGATGAGCAGTAGGTCTGCTAAGGGAATATTAACTAATCAAGGCGAAAACATAAATCGAATACACAAACAGCTTACCTATTATAATGGTTGAACTACTGTGCCAATGGGACGAATCGTCGCGAAGATTCTAGAGTGCCCGTGAAGTTTAAAGGCGCCCTGTGCGAGATTGTTCCCAGTTGTCCCGCGGTCTCTCTTCCAGTAGGAACCGCTCATCGAAGCAAAGCTTCACAAAGTTAGGAGTTCTGATAGGCTACACTACCGAATTTGATCTACCTATGTCATGAAACGGTACTGTAGATTTCCTGTATTCATATGCTACAACCAGAAACTCTTATGATCAATAACCTCTAGTAATGAGGAATATATTGTTAGGAAATCAGAGCACGACGCGTTGCCTAGGATACATATAATATGAAGTGCTAAAAGCAAAGCACCGTCACTTATCAATAAGCCACACCATTTCGTTCTCGATTAACCGCCCTGTGCCCAAACCTAACCTAGGTATTCTTTCCGGTTCTATATCATTATGAATGCGTTGCACTAGCAACAAGATATCGGTAGCTTTGCGGATTTGCCAGCTTTCACCCACAACTGCCCAGAAAGCGATAGAGAGACGGAAAAGGCGATAGATGCGACTCCGCCAACTATCGGAAAGTCGTTTTCGTCGCTGCCGACAAAAGCAATGGCCAAGTCAAACGAAACCATTACACGCTACCCACTTTACTCAGAGACGTTCGTCGCTGTTCGCTGCTTGACCGCCTCATCTGGGATCTCCCTGTCCATCTACTGGCTATGGACAGTCGGCTCCTTTATAACTCGTAACCGTTATAGTTTGGTCGCACCGCGCAGTCGCCGACGCGCACCAGGAACTTTTCGATTTGACGAACGACAGTAGAACCTTCCAGCGACAGGAACCTTCAGCTAATGCCTGCACACCAGCTGTGCCTTTCAACGAGCGCGCCCGACCCAGCCAAAACGACATCATCCACCCGCTTCTATATTCGCCACAAGCCAGTACCGACGAGGAAACGACTATCAGTGTAAATATTCAATAGATATTGACTCTATTGGCAACCTAACCCGGCGCTATTGGAAGCCAATGCTTCTCCAATGGCCAAGCGGACCTGCGGTCAACCTCGAATAGTTGCGGCAAAGGCGGACAAACACCTATCCACACATATGCTTCTTCTCTCTGCTAGTCTATCTTTGCTCTCATGAGGTTCTGCTGACAGGAAAAAGTACCTGGAAGGTGTAAATGTTCTGTCTGAACGAGCCGTGAAGTGCAATGCTACACAGGGATTGGTGACGATGAGGTGACAATGAGACCTTTCCAACGGACTAGACGACGGGTATCGCAAATGAGTTTTGATAATCGTAATGTATCCATAAGCGAAACAAAAAAACGTAAGATATGCAACTTGTCACCAAAGAAACCGTTAGCACACAGAGGGCTCATAGTGTCTTAAGGCTTAATTATATTGTTGATTTCTTTTTACAAACTGAACGATTAGGGAAAATATGTGCAGCTTTTGACTAATTTAACATATAATAAGAAAATCTTAATAGAAATAAAAGTGTATGTTTATATATGTATTCAATACTAAAGCTAATTTAATGTAATTTGTCGCATTTTCTCTTTATGCCTAAGCTAAGTACCATTTTTCCTATTTTCAGCTGTCGTGCACAACAAGGCTTTAAGGAACTCTAGCGTGTCGGCACTACCGTGTGATCAGCCTTAAGGAACACTTCTGAACTGGTTTCATTAACCGTTTCATCTGAGTCCTGTCTGTGTGTATGTACGTCAGCTGTGCAACACTCAGATTCCTAATTTAGTTCACTTGTCATAGAATATCTTGGGTATGTCCGGTCGACTACAGACAATTTATGAATTTGTTATTGAATCCTTAAAAAGCTATTCTAACTTTCCTCTTTAATAGCCACTCGTACATTATCTGTACGCCGACTAGAACGCCTGCCCGACCGCCTAAATACATGTTTCGCTTTCTCGTGATTAAGTTTTTCTTCGTGAAATGACGATAACGTTTTACTGAAAAAGACGTATTTAGGTTTTATTTGCAAACATCATTTTTCGAGCATCGCGTTCGATATCCGATGGTCAGAGGAAACGCGCCCTAGTTCTATATTTTCTCACAACATTTTTTTTATCTAAGCAAAGGGTGTAAATGTAGTTTTGAACCTCGCATGTTTTTTCTTTCAGTTAGACACAATAGATTATTGTTTTTGTACTTCTGTCACTAAAAATATTGCATGTAAATGTCTACCTAAAATGTCTCGCTGACGTTCTCGCTTGCGCAAGTGGGCCGCGGTGATATTTATTAATAAAAAAAATATTTGCCACATAGGAACCTCAAAAGGGTATTGGGAAGAAAAAATTAAAAAATAAACTTGTGCCCTATATAGATAAATATGTCTATAGCAATATATTAAATGTCAGCTTATATACATATACATATATGTATGTATATATATATATATATATATATATATAGGGGGAGGAATTCAATATCGCAGCTGATTTTTCGATAGACGCGCACATTCTAGCATTTTAATTAATCTAATAGAGACATTTGAGATGGTGCATTCTCAGCCCAGTTGTTGACTATTGGTTCTGATAATTCGAAATTCTGCCAGCCCATCATCGCCCAAATAATGTGGCATTTGCTAACGGTCTCATTATGTATAGTAGTAAATACGAATATGGAAACCGCATGAAAGAATGTGCGAAGCTTTGAAGTTAAATTAATTAGAGATACAATGAGGCATAGGTAGGTTTCTTATTTAAACAAACACTACTCGAAAAACGAACAGCAGTGCTCTTATTATCCAGCTAGTTAATCAGACATTAATTAATTAATCAGACATAATAATTATTTGCAAACAATATCTTACTCGTAATGGATGTTCTGATAAAACTGGCCATGTGTAGGGGGTCTATAAGGTTTGTTAACACACAAAACAATGACAAAATGTTTTACTACGCCGACGATCTCCTAAAATTGGGGCAAGTCGATTAACCATCACTTAAGACATGGATACTGCTTTTGGTCGAAAGCAAAATTTTAAAAAGGGTTCTCTATATCATGAATGCCTCGATAGCAAAGTCTATGTTTATGGACGTTTTGCTCAAACATTAGCTTCCTGAATTTTGTTTTGTGTTTTCTCTCTTTGTTGTCGAACTTCACAGATTTGTCTTATTATGAATGTGATATCGAACTTTGGATGCTGACGGATTCGGGCTAGCGAATTTACGACCGATACGACAACAGCAATAAAAAAAATAACATCACTTGGAAAAACACGTTCCATGGCTAGATAATCGACTTCTATTGCGGAGACAAACGTTCGCATAACAGACCACCCTTCTGTGAGCATGATCGTCGTCTAAAGCTCTAGAAGCAATCGTATCTGACGCTGACCGTCAGAGTAGCAGTTGGAGTATACTCAACGCTCTATGCTACAATTAGCGAATTGAATTGTAACGCGTCTATCATTTTTGCATAGAGTACGCACTGAGTCTCGCTTCATCAGCTACTCATCTTCTCGGTGGTTCCATCTAACAGGAAGCTAGCACTCGTTGACCCGATATACGGCGCGCTCATCCGTCCGTGGTACCTCGCTACCATATAGTGCGACCGCATGAACGTCACGCACTACTCAAATGCGAAACAGTCTCACTGACAATAATGGGCAATTTTTTCTGCACCTCAACCCCACAGCCTCATCAGATAGCAATAGACAATGATTCATCATAAAGTGCGAGTTTATAAAATAGCCCAGACATGACGACGAACGCGCTCGTCTGCCAATCGGATCTGGTCATCTTTTTAGATGACAAATATATGACTATGTACCCGTACGTATCTTAGTATGCTACTGCACCTGTTCGAAAGGCGGATGGTAGCGTCTTAAAATTACAGGACCACTATCGTGCGAAATAGACGGAATCTGATGATGTAAGGTCTATTGTGAATCGGCGGGTAATCAACTACAGCTGGTCGGTGAAAAGTTTTCATTTAAGTGTATGCATTCATGTGTGCTTCTAGGAGCTTGATGACTCTCGATCAGGGGAAGGACGAAGCCCGAATAGGGCCGAGGTGGCATAGCAACGCAACTCCGTTGGCCAGACGCAGCGGTCAATCAACTTCAGCAATGAATTCCCAACCTGGAATGACCAGTTGGTGAGAGCGTTAGAAGGACGAACTACTTGTTAGGAGAAATGAGGACACGTGGTAGGTGATTTTTCCTTTAAAGTTTAGTCAACATGTTATTTATTTGCTTTCAAAGCACTTTCTCTTCTTGTTCGTTTTAAAATCGTTTAACACATGGATAGCACTATCAAACCGTTGTCGATGTACCTAGAGACAGCACTTAAGCCACAAGCCACGTTGAAACTTATTAGAGCCTACACGATACATGTTAAGTAAAATTAGAAATAAACAGATTAAGTGCATAGCATTCGTATGATGACGATACGTTTGTTCTCGGTTCAGCTATCGTTGGTTAAGTGTCCTTCAGATACGCTGTAGAAGTTTAAGTTGTTTACCGTACATAACGACTGCGACGCCGAGGGTTTTTTTTTTTTTTTTTCTCTATTTTTCTGTCAATCTATCTACTTCGTCTAAAAATAATCGGAAGAAATTTCTTTTGCAGCAGGAGAACTATAGCACATATCAGATGTATAACGGCTACGGCTGAACGCATCAATTTGATAAAACTGATTCCACCAGCTAAGCCCCTATCTGTCCTGGGATTCACGCGCACAACTTACTCCTCATATTGTAGAAACGCTTAAAACCTAATTATGTAACATCAATCTTTATCGTGTTATTCAGATACAATGTAAATATCTGTGTCTGTTGTTATTTACTAGGAACAGGTATTCATATGTCAACTTCCCTATAAACTATGTATGTATGTATGTATGTATTTCGATCGAGTAAAAACACTTGGCTTGCTAACTATGGCTGCACTGGGCAAAGACCGCTACAGTGGCTTTCATGATAACATCGTAAAATCTCTATCGGCACGAGTATCATCGGCAGGTAATTTGGAGATGATACAAACTTCTAATAAGTATTATATAAGAGTAACGTGTCGTAATATGAAGATTAACATAAGTATGTATTATGCGTATGAAGATCTAATATGGTAATGATTATTTAAAATAATAATACTGCTGGTAATAGTGATCACACCGCAATGTAACGGACATGCTCAATGAAGACAATTTGGTACCATGCCTTGTTCATGATCTCTACCGCGTAAACGATAATTGCGTGAGGTCAATAAATGACAGTCTGTATTCCGTCTGCTCTCTACAGAGGCACACATGAAAAGACAACAACGAATATGCCCTCTGGCGAAAAATGCGAAATCGTCACTCTGGCGTCCTGTTGAACAGGTCGACGCCTTAAGGCAGTCAACAATCTGTGGACGAATCTGTAACTCAATATTTAGCGTCCTGAAGCTAGGTTTTACCTGGCCGAGCCTACTGCTTTATACTCGAATATTCATTTAGATTGGTTGCTGTTTTGTTTCTATATTCTGTTCGATAACCGAGCCTACAAAGGTTCGAAAGCTGTGTACAATTTCAACAAGTTTACAAGAACAAGCCAAACAAAGTTTTCTATAAAAACACGCGAACGTTTCCATGTAAGAATGGATCAACTTGCCAGTTTTCGAAACGTACGAAACGCTAACATAACACATATATACGCCGTTGCTTATGGAAAAAAAAATCGTATAAACCAATAATTATTAAATTAAATATTTGGTAAACATTATCGTCAGATCTGTTCTGCTGTGGCTGTAGCTGCAGCATCGCTATTAACTTGGAGCCAGTTGATTCTAAATAATGAATTCAATGCCGTCTCGCAGTTTCGTCCATTCCGGGGCATCGCGGCCAACGTTAGTATCACTTCTAGTCCTTAAACTTGCAGTTGGTTTGCTTTTGAATTTGACAATGAAAGACCATAGCTAATCTACGAAACTTAATTGGACCCTGAATTTGCTCAACAAGTAACCGCGAGTGCGTACGACGCCTTAAGCTACCCTGTTGTAGCTATGGCACATTTGTTTGCATAAATAATTAAACATTTCGATAACAGTGTAAGCCGATTACTGTTACATGATCCTTAGGAAAACTTACTACATCACTTAGATCTTGGCAACGGGATTCTTTTCTTCTTTTTATAAAGACTAATGATTTTGGCCTGTCTGTCCACGCGTCGCTATCGAACCCGCGTCGAAATCGCCTAGCATCGCATCAAATTGCGCTTTCGACAGAGCGTGCTCAGAAGGACGCAAAGCGTTTACTTGGACCGAATAACTAGTCAGGGGCGTTCGCGTTGTGGAGAAGTCCTGGTATGGGTCGAGCACAGAATCGAAGGCCAAATTGTTCTTATGCATATGTTGTACATTGAATCCCAGTGTGTTTAGCTGCGGGGTGCCAAGTGACGACGGGAACAAGCGACGGCTTCCGACTGGATCGACGTTTTTTGCGTTTGTATCGTACTGACTAATGCCGTCGAGCGAAGACTGCTGCAGCAGCATATTATCACAGGAGGCCGAACAAGTGGTTGGAATACCCTGCTTTAGCCCGTCAGCCAATGAAACGCTGATTACTTGCGATCTGTACCGGCTGCATGCATCGTCCATTCCAGTGAAGTTCGCTTTTGAAGTTGGCAACGGCGAGTCCAGCGTATTATCGCAAGCTGTGAACTCTTCGCAAAGATTTCGTGGCGTTGTCACGACGCGTCTGTTCCATACGTCCTAAAAGGGATGGTCAAACATATCGGATCGCATTTAGTTTGTTTCAAGTAATTGAGATGGGAGCGATACCATCACAGATGCATGCAAAGCTAAATTCTAATACAGAAACTCGTTACTTACGTAATTCGTTCGCTATTGCATCCTTATGATAACTATTTTAGGCCACCGAATGTTAATGGAGAAGACATACATATGCATACTTAACGCTACGTTCTAACTATATTCCAACAACCGAAATCCATTGCCTGAGTGCTCCGCGTTTAAGTACAGTTATAGAAGGATAGATATATAGGCGAAGCGATAGATTTGCCGCTTCTCTGCACATAACTCTCGCATGGTTATCAAGCTACCAAACAGGCCCGTCTGCAATAGTGCCTAGAACGTGCAGTGTAAAAACGGACTGTATCAATTTGAAACATTTCAACTTCGTAAAAAAAAAAAGGCCATCAGTAGAAATAATGCTGTGCCTTTCTTTCTTTGTGTGCCTGTGCAGGTCTGATTAAGTAAATTACCAGGACCGTACACAAAGCAGGCCTATAAACCATAACGCTATGTAGCAATAATAAAAATAATAATGATCATTATCTAGTTTCAAGATCTTTCAAACAATGCCTTCAACGGATTGAATAATCTTTCGAGCTCCTAAAATCCGTATAGGTAACTTGTTTTAAGTTTATTCTCTAATAAAAAAAAAAAAAAAAAGAATCAACAGAGAGCACTGGACACTTTGGTAGTGGTCTTTGTCGCATTTGCTTAGGTAGGATAGTAGATAAAAATATGTTACAGTAATACGGGAGTTGTTGAACGGATACCGGTGACCTCTTTAAGATTCCGGTAATCTGCCCCGTAGCTCTGGTTCAGTCGACCGATGATACGATACACGTATAGTTTAGTCATGGAAATGAAGGCGACACAATACAGCCGCGGCCTCAATACGCCATAGGAACTAACTTACTTGTGGCGTACGTAAATCGAACCAGACGTTGTGTTTCGCCGACTGGTCCTGGAAAAGATAACAGGTCACGTTAGCCCCTGACAAACTTTTCCCTTCAAGCTATGATATAAAGCAAACAACCGATAGGACCATATTAGTGAACGTGCATGCAGTATTGGGTAAGTACGGAGGTTTCATGATGAATCTAACTAAGCAGCTCGTCCTTGAATACGAATTGAGCTTAAATAAAGTTCCTTACTCAAGTTTGTACTGTATATGCATTGATAGCAACCACAACTAACTCTTTAATTAATTATTAATTAATATTATTAAAAAAAAACTTACTTCTCGTTGAAGGGCATCCACCGAAGTGTTGGTAGATACGTCGTCAATCCCGGGCGTGATCATCCACGATTGAAAGTTTCGTTCAGCTTTCGGAGTAGAGGTTGGATTCTAATGGACAAAATGAATAGAACAGTATAAATTTCAACCCATGTTTCTATTTGCCAATAGTATGCGATAACATCTTCAAGTAGAGCAGTTGAAAATTATGGATGTCCGCTCAAATTCTTACTAGGATAAGTAAAAAAGGCTATACAATACAGTCTAGCCAACATTTTATTCCAGTCGTCACGCAGAAAGTGTGTTTTTAATATCACCACCAAACGTGTTCTCTATTAAACTCGTATTCTCCGCGTTGTTTATATAAGACATATATAAAAAATAAATAAATAAAAGTCTTCGAATTTGGCAACGAATGATTTTTTGCGTTCTATGAAGAAATCCATTGCTTCTATGTAACGATGATACGCGTTAAAATTTTGAATAAATTGTCTCATAGATAGCAACACTGTCACGGTTAATGCCGGAAGAGAATAGATTATGGTGTTCATTATGACACGCCGTTGCATTTCTTAGATACACAGAAATGAGAGAGCAAGAATTGTTGAATTAACAAACTAAGAATAAAATTAAGCTTTTGCAAATCTTTTATTCAGAAGATACGGTTCCGACCGTTTTAGAATTACTGCTCGATACACAACATCCGACACTTAGATCTGGTCCGTGGTGATCCAGATTCGAACATGGGCACAGATGCAATTCTTAGGATCTATCCGTCTAGATGCCCAGCGGCTTAAGTAGCAGACGTAAAACACAAACAAATTTTTAAGCGTCCAGAGCTGCTCTGTATTATAACTGACCAACCAATCGCCCCCCGCTAGTAGACCATGTGAAATCTTGATCAATATTCGCTTAGATGTGTATAGGATGAACTAAGTCATTCAACAAAGGAAGCCTTTAAAAAAGACTAAAAGCTCTCCCGCATAGGGCTTGGGGGTTCGAGGGCAAGTGACTCCTACTTGTAGCTGGAACTGCCCACCAAACAGAGAAGGTGAATATAGTCGATCAAGATCCCTCGATCTCTTTGTGGGCTAAATAATTAGACCATGGGTCAGGGAAAAATTCATATCAAAGATATCGTACTCTATTAAATGCAGTGATGACATTTAATGTTTAAATATCACGTTTGTTTTAATGAGTATCGTAGAATAGAAGGCTGCGTTTACCATTGGCTCCAAGGGTTGTAGTGCGCATTTTTTTGGAATGATTATCAGTACTGAAAATTACCAGAAAAACCCATTAGTTATAGTCACCGATCATCGTCATTTACCGAATGTGAATATGGCGCGCCGATGTCGTCAGGTCGTCGGGGACCACTTAGCACTGTATGTAGAGAACGACCTGAAGGAAGGTCGCCAGAGCTCAGCTGGTAGCCTTTTAGTCTCGTACGATCTATGTGTACGTTGCTGATCGAGTTTTTCACGCTGGCTGGAGTGCTGGCCAGAGTGTGCGGAAACCCCAAGCTCGAAACGTCCCTACGGATAGTTTTCCTTTCCGGTGTTTTATGTGGAGTGCGGGTATGCTGTCCTGGTGTATTTGGTACTGCGGGCGTGTCTTGGGAACAATGCGAAGCGAGGGGCTGAGGTGCTCTAAATTACCGATTTTTGATGATGACGAACAATACGCATAAGTATTGCTATAGGCTATGGTGCTTCACGGAAGATTAAAGGACCCCTTCCATGACATGCAGTACCGAAAATCGCCGCTAACATGTTACATTTTACTTGACAGAAGTGCGAAATATACAGGCTGATGAAAGATGCTATAAAATATAAACAGGCATATACTTACTTAAGCTGGTTCCATGAAATAGCAGCGCGACACGTCTCGCGGGACGTGGATCCCTAAACAGGAGGAAGCAGACGAAAACGTGAAACACTACCATACCGTTATATCGCACTTTACTTATATATATAACTAGGACTAGAGTAATGAGTTGTGCAGTGAGTGAGGGTCAGACTGAATGACAAAGAAAGGTTTTTTGCGAAGAAATTTCACTTTTGACACCTACCCTGCCTTTTACCGGGGTGAAAAGTTGCCGAAGCAGTCTGAGATATTTGTTCCCTATACAATAAAGAGTACATAATTGAGAGAACTGATAGTAGAAATCTGCTAAATTCGACAATAGAGTCCTGAACCCGGGAAGTGTACCCCACCACGATCAGCTACGACACCACGAGCTACTTAATTGTTCCTGAAGATAGGTTGCAAGCACCATTGTCAAATATATTAAATATCTGTAATTTTATCAGAAACGAATAGCCTACTTGTCTCTTGAACTAGACAAAGCGCACTGACCCTGAACATCCCGCCGACACCGGGCAGCACTTATCCGTGATGACAGGTTTCCATACAGAATTGTCACTGGTGACGAGAAGTGGTATCTTCTCGTTAACGTAAAGAAAAGATAGTAAGGGTAGTCTTGGGACAAACACCTAAGTTATGCCAGATCTCAATCTCAAAAACATGACGGTTTGCGTTTGGTCAGACTGAAAGGGTTTTATACACTTGAGAAAAACAAGGCGCTTATGGTTCTCCATGTGGCCTAATTTAGTCATGGAACTGGGCTTCCGATAAAAAAAAACTCAATGGAGAAGGCAAAGAAATAATGCCAGGCCGCACATGACAAAAGTCGTGAGAGCTACGTTAAATAAGAGCTTCTTTTGCATCCACCAATCTCTCTAAACGTCTGACAATGAAAGGGGTCCTGAAACTTAAGTGGACGAGTTTCTCAATGCCGGATATGAAAACTTCTGGCAAGAAGAAATGAATAAATTGGTTCAGAAATAAAGAAGCTCGTGGAGAATGACAGTAGATATATAGTAAACTAATGTAATTTGTTATTATAATTCGGGTGAAGCGCTGCGTTTCTTTGACAACAAATAAAAAAAGGAGAAAGTAACCTACATCTCAGATTGACGTTTATACAAAATGTCCAAGTCAAGCATTTGTGAGTAGTTTGATGCAGATGTTTCTGATAACTACTCTTTTTTTTGCAGATTTTAGGGACGGTTTTTGGAATAGGACTATGTGTTGCTTCGTTACAAAGACGTTCTATGACTTTTAGGCTTTTTTTTCTATGCTTTGCATCTTTAAAATTTTTTTTCACGCTTTAGGGTTTCTGAGACGTTTAGCCTAATTTCAGCCCAAGTTAAGACCGCTAGATTTTTTTTATATGTCACTAATATTTCAATAAGTCTAAGCGTACCAACATTAATTCGCTTACGACTTTTACTGAATCAGATATTTGCGAATCTATAAAACATAGTCTTGCACATGATTTCTGACATTTTAGAAGCCGAACGCAGCACGATTGGCAATAAAGACATTTGCCAGGGATGTCTCTGTCGGTACGCGAAAAAACAGTTGTTTAAGCAGCAGCTGTAAATTAATTAATTTTTTACATGTAAAATAAGCGGCATCAGTCATCTTTAAATTAATCGAAACCTATATATAGATTTAATCGTTTCGCTTGTTGAGGGAAACTTCAAAGTATACAACTGTCATACCTGTGTCCCACATTGTTCCCATCCCCAAAATATTGTTAAATACTTTGATGTTATACTTAAGCCTTTTTGTGCCGTACCGTTTAGTAACGCTAAAGTTTTAGTCCAATATCATTAGAAACTACTAAAAATAAGGTCTCACTTACTTCAACTTTCCCATTGAAATATTTTTTGTAGCAGAATATGCGCTTATTTCCGATCTCACTACTGATGAATTCTAAAGGTTCCTTCGAAGCGTCGTACACTTCACATTGGATGACCATCACAGGAAAGGCTCGAACCTTGAAATCAAATGAATAAATTTTCCTCACCGTTAAATAGAAGTCGCAAGACAACTATGCGCGCTTATCTATTTTCAAACGTCTATCAATTAAACACATATAATTCGGACATCTATAATAACTTAGTTTCCACTCAGACCGATCCAGCAATGCAATCCAGTCGAGCAGGGCAAGACTCCTTGTGCAACTAGCTGATCCATGATACCCGACTTGCAACACGAGAAATTCAAGCAAAAGCTAATTAAAGAGGTCGTATCAATTACTGGTTTGCTACGCCTGAAAATATTATTACCTATTAAAATAATGAGTCGGCACAAATCACGTTTGTGTGCTACGCCATACAAGTGTTGCGTCACACAACACCGTCTCCCTAGGGATTAAACATATCGATTATGTAATCAATCAATCCGTGTACGCAATCTAAAATTACTTACCGATGGCACCGAAAAAAATGTTCCACACACTACTAAATAGAATACCTCAAAGTACGCATTTCGGTACGGGAGAAACAGTCGAGACATTTAAAGGACGCAGCTGGCATATGCGCATCGCCTTCTCCAGAGCAAACCGGAGATAAAAGTATATATGCATTATAGTTTGGACTGGTTGACTTTGATACTCACTATGCATTAGAATAGAATAATACAAAGCGACATCGAAACTTTTACCGCTTGAGCTCGATACTCGCAGTGAGCTGTTGGTCTGTCCTGCGAAACGACGGTAAACTGGAGACGCCATCCGACGCACAGAGCATTTCTGTAAAACCACAAACGGAAGACGCATTGACTTACATACGGACTCACCTTGCCGCTAAGAGTTCGTCTGAAAAAACGAGGGTCAATTTTGATGAAGCCAGTCTGGCATGAGGTTGACTGAATCTTCGTGTCCTGGGTTTCTTGCACGATCGCCAGTAGGTATGCCACCGTCGCTACTACCTTCATTGTAACACTCTACTATTAACTTGCCTCTGTTAGATACTACCAACGAGTTCGCCGGTAGTACTGAGGTGTGGCCTTTGAGATACCGAAGTCTAATAGTAATCAGGTACAGTTTTCTCATACTAGAAAAAAAATGGAGACCGCGGTACTAACTGGCGCATATAATATATGTAATGATTACCGTTTGAATAAACGCAGAGAATCTACCCACGAAGCAAAGTGATCGACCTGGCAATGCTAGTTAACACCTACTTGTCTCTGTCGTCCATTAATAGATCCGAGTAGTTGAAATGAGCCTCTCCTATATGATGGATGCATTCGAGAACAACGAATCCGTAACGTTTGGCCGGGAACAGTTTCTTGATTACTCCTTGACAAACTTCGCCCTAGACGAGGGCAACACATAATCGTACAATTCAATCCAGTTTGGCGTCCATACACTAGTACTGAGGTTTCATTGTAAATACGAGATAAATTTGAAAAAACTTTGATACAATTCGCCGATAAAGTACCGAGAAACAACTTGATATGAGTCGGAAAAAGCGGTATGAATATCTACCTGTTACACTGCCATGACGACCGCTTCCCCGACGTCAATTCAACATGCTTCCCGAATGTTTTTCTGTCACAATGGTGCGTTATATTTCATGTGTACGTATATCTGAATATTTATGTAAGTGATACTGTTTTTATGATAACATTGGTTCTCATTAGCAGGCTTCAAGTGTAATACACTTCGAGGATACAATCGAAGAACTAGTATGAGCGAACTTGAATCGAGATCTTGTGACTTTTGGAGATCCACCGATTGTGCCAGTCTAACGCAGAACTGACAAAAACTTCAGTCGACCTTACGACGGTTAGGTAGATTCAAGGCGGAGTATCCACAAGTATACGCCTTAAATTTCAGGAGGATACAGAAACATCTCCATCGCAATTTAGGCAAAAGTGACTGGCAGCGCTATCTCAGATAATAGGTATGCCTTCATCGAAATAGTCCTAATCGAGCCGTGATCATTTTTATGCGTGTGGTCGCGTAATATATATATCCCTCAATGATGCACATTTATAATGACTTTTTTCTCCATCGTGAAATGCAGGAGTACGTCGTCAAGACTTTATATAGCTGAAATCACTAGAGTTGACAATCCCCTGAAGAGCATTATTTCGTGTACGCTCGTGTATACGAAACACTGGAACGCCTAAAAGTCCCCCATCTCCCCCAAAAATTATGGTATATATGTACCCATGAGCTGGCAGAAGTCTATGTACCAAATGCCGAAATGGCGCAAAGTATTAGGTTTACAGTAGGTCAGAAGCTAAGCTTTATACGGATAAGCGTGTTTTCCACAGAAACCATGTTGGCTTTATAAGCCGACTAATAGAAGAAGGACATCATGTATATGTTCGAACCCATACCAACGGCGCTACATGACTACAGAAAAAAACAGTCTGTCGCGAAAGCAGACGCCATTTTTACATGTTAAACATATGAAACGGTTCGTACATTATGGCTGTCACGTTGATCTATTGTATAAATGATGCCGCCATCAACGGTTTTTTCGAACGTTCGATCGAGGGCAATGACTTGAGCAAATTAGTGATGATAAATAGTCGATTTTCACTCAGTGACAAACATACAACCGAAATACTGGGCAATAGATGCATCGCTGTACAACAAATTGATACGCTACATGTTGAACGAGGACGAACGCATAAGCGGTAATTAACTAGAAGCAAGCCAAAGCGTGCTTCAGAGCACACATCAGACACTAGCTGACAATTAGATACTGAGAAATATGGAAAGAACATATCATAATTTGTTTACAATATGGAAAAAAATCAAAACAACACGTCATACTAAAAATGTTTGACGCTCACGAACCGCTCAATGATAAACATATTATTATTTAATCGTAGATTAGTATCAGATTGTCACTGGCAGCTTTGGCATCGCTTATTGTTTACTATGCTTGACACGGTTAGATCTCTTGTTGGTCGATCAACGAAATCCCTTAGACTTGAAAATCATTGCTAGTCAATCTGTTAATAAGACACAATCAATGTACTTTAGCACAAAATAGCGAATAAACTACATATACAATGTAGTTTGTGCAGATGTTGGTACTGCATCAATCGGACTGTTGTATCGTGTAGCCCACCTGTTCTTTATCCAAAGCTGTAAGCGCCGAAGCATTGTGCGAGGCAAGAATTGACGAAGACATCGACGACGCACGCACTTCTCCTAAGCGATGACAACTAATATTAAAATTTTAACGCGCGCCGTATATAGCCACAGTGAGCTGTCAGTTCGTGCGAAAACGACGATCGCACGACTGCACGTTCCTGGTTAGGGTAACAGTATCCCGTGCTTAATGGCCTCTTTGACGTATTACTATCGTTTGTCTGCCTGTTTTTTTCAGGTTTCGTCGTTTTTGAGCCTTAGTACTGATCAATAAAGCAGCTCCTGGTGGGGTTACTACGAGATGCCTGGGGTGGTTCGCACAAGAACAATACTACTGACAATGCAAGAGCATTCATGAAGAGGACCTTGTCCGCAGTTCAGGTGTATCGCACCTACGATGGCGACTGTTTGACCTCTTGAATTTGGTTTTTAACTCATATTGGTTGGCGGAGCACGTCGGCCTATCGATCAGCGTTTGGACGGCGACAGCACAGCGTTTCGGTGTCGCTAGATGTCGGTGGGTATCTTTGCATGAAGTGGGCTCGTGCATGTAGATTTGTGCATGTGTAATAAAGCTGCACGTCGCGATCGCTCAACGTGCACTGTTTTCCTATCCGTTTGTTCCATTCCCTCTTTCTCTTTTGTCTAACTGTTTTTATATAAGAATGCCGAATGTATTTTTCATAGTATATTGGGAGTTTGTATGTGTGTATGTGTATCTGTGTTTTTGTCTTATGCGTACCTAAATGTGGGTGCAAATGCACATGACGCTGATCAATAGCAAATTCTGCTAAAGAGCACCTTGCGTAGAAATCATACTGATGTGGTAATGTTTTAGAATAGTTTATGTGTATTTGCTTACGGTTATTTGTTGGCCGATAGGTTGCTCGCGTTCTTATACCCTAACCTGTACAACAGTCTACGAGCGATAGTTCAAAAAGACCGGGGTTACATTAGAATGACACGCTGCTTTCAAGCGTGTAGACCGGTCACTTATGGATCCATACCTAAACGCATGAATTTACTTATACAATTTAATTACTTGACCATGTAATCAATTAAATTGAACGAGATTCTTACTGTAGTTTATAAAAAAAAGTGCACAAAAGGATGCAGCAACAGTTCGCTCCCACAGATTACTCCTGTTAATTAGCAAATCGTCCCTAGTTAAAAGGTCGCCAAACTGCTCGGCCGGCGATGAAGTTAAATTACGTACGAACCGAATCAAAGATAAACGCTAAATAATGCGATATATATGTATACACACACACGCATATATATATACATGCGTGTGTGTAAGTGGCTCGACAAATAGCCCGACTTTGGAAAATGATTTTATAATAAGTGGAGAAAGACCTTCTCTAAAATGGTTATAGTTACTATCATGAAAATCTCTGCCATTAGAGGGTAAACTGTCACGCAGCTAGCAGCTTAAGTATGGCACCTTATCGATAGGTTTGGCTCTGTCTTCTCAGAGTATTAATCTTAGTTGTTAGAGAACATCAGTCCCCTACAATAAAACCACTGGGAGCTGGAATATAAATACAATCGCCTTTAAGTACAGCAAACGTTCCACTTATTTTTTAGGCCGTCCAAATTTAGACCAACCATAGATGTTTCATACCCTGAATATCACAATATTGAGCAGCAGGACCTATTTTTTGCTTTGAGCAGATTCCTACATAAAATTAAGGTTAGGCGACCCGTATTTTTGTACGTAGTACTGCGGACAGCAACACTCGATGCAAATATTCAGTCAAATTGCGAAAACATCGTGACAACTGTAAACTGTTACGTTGATATCGGACAGAACCCGAATTTGGCTCAAATCCCTACCTGGGTCGCAGTTCCCCTTTGGCCCTCACAGCTCGCATACTGATCAGGACAAGTTTTGACGCCCGGAGAGCAGCTGCAGTGGAACTCGGCTGGGTTGGACGATGGAGGACTTCTGCCGGAGACTTGTTATTAATGATCTGGTCCATATAAAAAGGACATAGGTCTGCATACGCAGCGGGTATGTACCGAACGTACAATAATCACAGCGGATGTTCCGGCCGCGACACGTTTGAACACCGAACGAAATATCTCCGCTTGTTGAGGTGCTATACCGGGTTGGTGGTCACTAAGTGGCATAATTATCATTTCGTGGTACGGTTCGTTTAGAAGAGAGGTCAAAACGATTCTGAACCCAAACTGTGATTTTGCAGCAGGAAAAGAACGTGAAATAATTTCACTAAATATCGATAGCTGAAAGCAAAATTGACCAAGCCGAGGCTAAGTTATCTAAATATTTCGGGTTTTACGCTCCGTCTATCGACAGCTAGCCTTTTCCATCACTTCAGTTCACACTCCGTTCAGCTTCAAACCTATTAGGCCTTTTTGTGAAAAGAAATAGGACAACAGCCTAAACATCCTGAAAAACAAGAAGGTCTCTATTTCAAATGCCAAGTGTAAATCAAATTTAGGCGATTGAATGTTTAGATGGCATGTTGCAATTATTACGTACGCAGATACCTATCTGAGATGGTGGGGCAAGATTCGGCTCTCCAGATCAGCGCGGAGTGCCATTTCCTTCCTGAACGTGGCCATTCAACCTACGGACTTTACCCCTTATTTTCTGTTATTTCTATAACTGTAAGGTTGTACTGCTGTGACGAATGAACGTGAAAAAGTTCTATCGACCTTAGGTAAATTAGGTAGTTAACGTTTACTGGTGTGTTTGTAGAGCATTTCAAATCGCCTGTATTGTTTATTGTCATTCCTTTATGAAGTCAGTTAATTACAATATTCGCTATAATGAACATCATAATTGCGTCCGAATTTTTATCTAGTTATTTTGAGTTGTTTATTACCGATTGGCCGCAATTAAAATAAACAATATTGTTTTTACTAGCTTCACAGTAGCCGATTTGGTAGCCGATCGGACGGCCAAGCCTTTGGTTAACAAAGGTCAAGGGTCATTGCTTTGTAAATTGCCAATGACGTATGCTACACCCCCTGGCTGAAAAAAGATTATGGGGACTAACTTAGTAATCATTATGCCATGCAATGAGAACGCAAAGCTACGATGCGCTCATTTATTTCTTTACTTTATTTAAAAATTAAATGAATTCGATATATTTCAAAGCTTATTGAAATTGAGCTCGATTAAAGAATTCCATTCTACTTAATAAACATTTGAAAACAATCAAGCTATTTGTGTAATAGCAATACATTCTCTATATATTTATCATCCTTCGTTGGTCTTCATCTGGTGGTTGAAGTATACTATAGCATAGACCTCAATAGAGTTATATCATAAGCATTCATTTGTCAACGGCCACAGGCAATAAAAAGAACTGAAACCGGACCTCCGTGTCTATTAAGGCCACAACAAACATTTTGTTAGACGATATATTATATAGCATTGCAATTTATGCTGTATAGGTGATATGTACATGTAATTTGCTGTCCCTTTGAGAGCAATACAACAATAAAATGAAAGCTTCGAAAAAATCCTTACAAAATAAAGTGCCTAATATAATTTAAAAGATCAATAGTAACGAAGTCTATTAGCTCAATACGAGAAAGTAGATATATTATGACACAAAACGTTGTTAACGTTACAGCACTTGTTGCTGATTCAGATGAAGAATCGGCTGGGTTTAGGGGAGGCCTGCTATGCGCTTCCTTTCTTTAAATTGAAGCGCAAATATTAGGGCCATATCGACGCTAATACACAGAAGGGTATGAGTTCCGTCCTCCGATGGCATAACGACGGATAGAACTACCTCAAAAGTGAAATTCAGAAAAAGTGTCAGGAATAATTGGAAAATTACACACACATGAGGGTGGAGAATATGATGACTGTGACACATTTTGAACGGTGCAAACTTTCAGTAGGTGGGTGGTCGAAGAAGGCTGTTTGAAGGACTTACGTGCTAGCGTGTGCAGGCTTGATGACGTATTTCATCTGTCAACGAGTTTTGATGAAACTTGTTCAAGTGAAGCCGCGCTGAAAATACTCAAACTGCGAATGGCGACAGGCAGAATAAAACCAAGCTAGCAGTTTACGGCAGACTAGACAAAGTAATATAATCTTTATTAATGGGGTTCGAAATTCTATTGTAATTTGTTAACCGAATGCAGAGGAACCAGCCAGTGCAACAGCGGAATCTAACTACGATTGAATCTTCGCAACGAATGAAGATAATGAAGGTTTTAGCGTTACAGCTATATGGTGCCTATTCCAAACGTTTGTTCATCGAACGAGATTAGTACAATTCGTTTATGTTTCTAGACGCGGCCGAGCGTCACCCTTCAAATGCTGACAGAATAATAAGAATTATGAATAGTGTTTATAGTACTTAATTTCGTACTACCAAATAATAAAGCATATGACGCATATAACGCACCGATAGCATGCTGGCAGCAATCAGTCATATGGTAAGCGGTGCGAGGGCGGTGCCGCTGTTTCCACATGTCCACGGTGAAAAAAGCCACCGGCGAAATTAGGGAGGAGAGCAAAAAGAAAAAGGGTGGCCCATCTTAAGATGCTTAGTAGAAAGATATTAGTAAATCATTTATATAATTACGTATTACGACCGTATCATAGGCAGCGGAAAGCGGAGAAAATCGAAGAACAGAGTATTCCTACCTAACTTTGACCTAACACCACGAGTAATAATATATATATATATATATATATATATATATATATATATATTCGAAGATAGCAACCGAATGTTTACAGCGGATCCATGTACAACACCTTACAAGGCATGCATTTGTACACGATTTTACTTTCTACGTCACAATGAAGTGGTACGGTGCCTACCGAATTCAAAGACACATCGTAGCCTAGGTTCGAAGCCGGGTGCAAAGACATTTTGTTTCGTACTAAGAGTCTAGCCGAAAGGCTGTAGTATCGCACATAAATTTGAAAAAAATTTGTTTAAATTTACCATACTGTCAAATAAACTGAGAGGCTGATGAACCTATCTGCTTATTAACACAGTTCCGCTAGAACAACAACTTTAAGGCAGTTAGGCGTATTCCAACTATTTATGCTTGACTTAATCACACCACTATAAATTACGTATCTATCTCCGTAACTGTAACCGTCTTGGTCACCGTCTGTTTTTTCCAAGGTCGCCACTGCTAACGTCGCTAACGTGCTCACTTGCGTAGGGAAGTCTTATACTTGTTTCTAAACGGGCTCCTTTTGCAGACACTCACTCGAATTTCGTAGCTTCTATCTGGTTTTCTTTAGCCACTTGGCTACAGTGTTGCCTGTCGCGTCTAAGGCCAGATGTTGCTTTAACTGTTTACTTTTCTGTGTTATTCGTCTGTTGGTTAAGGAATAACTTAGCAAGTCTAACTTGCTAACTGCAAGAATAACTTTGCATCTAGTTTGACGCAACCTTGTAAGCCTGTTTTCCTGAAGG